CAAGAAGAGCGACGGGTGAGTGGACGACCTACACGAGCACGACGCAACTACCTGACCAAATGCAAGAGCCTGGGTGGACGCAGTGTGCACCGTGAACAACCTGACGCAGGTTCCCGGGGGAACATGGCAAGAGGTGCCCTAGTTGTAGTGTTCGTACAGGTCACGAACCACTTGTATCCAGGAAACGTGGTGCTTACACTGAGGTCCTGAAGACGATCGACACCCACCAAGTTCGTGGAGAATGCGGGGATGTGCAGACCTATGAGAGAGCCAGAGGGGACTGCCGGACACGGGAATGAGTAGGGCTACGTGCGACGACCATATTAGATGAAAGGTCGACCAGGGAGATTGCGACAGGAGCTGGAAGTGGCGAGAGGGTGGTGGGGTCGCTGAAGAAGCACTGAAACGGGCCGGAGTCCACGTGAAGGAGAGGGACGTGTCGAGAATGGACGCACATGGGCAAGAAGCGTGGCAGGGGCGGGTGCAGCAGGCGCAGGTGCGGCGGCAGCAGGCACGACAGGGCGTGCGACAGGGCGCGTAGCAAGTGTTAGAATATATACTATATATGTCTCACTGCTTGTAGCTATAGCACCCCGTTGCGCCCCGCGTTGCACGCCCGTCGTTGGATGTGTCGCGACGGCGAGCTGCGCGATGGCGTCCTTCGCAGCCCCTAGCGCGGCCCTTATCCCCACCGTCGTCGCCCTTGTCGCAACTCCCATCACACCTGTCGCACCCCCCACCCCCCCCTCCCTCCCCCCCTCCTCCCTGTTGCCCCACCCGCGTCTACCGCCGCGCTCTTGCTGTGGGTGGAGGTGGAACGGGTAGCGGTCAGTTGGGGACGGTAGAAGGGGTGGCAGTAAGTGGGGGGTTTGTGGTGGGGGTGGCGGTTAGTGGGGGGGGAGGCAAAGGGGGTGACGGCCATGGGCCTGCACCGTCGGCTGCCGCCCCTCTTGTCACTCTGCCGCGCATGCTGCTGTGGGGGGGGAGGTTGAAGGGGTCGCAGGATTGATTCTGCAGCACCAGCCGCCACCCACCTCCTCCTCTCTCTCCCTGCCGTGCCTGCTGCTATGGGGGGAGAGGTTGAAGGGGATGGCAATAGGGATCCTACAGCACCAGCCGCCAACCACAACCTCCTCTCGTCTCTCTTTCCTCTCCTCCTCCTGCTCACTCTCCCTCTCTCCACTTCTGTTGCGCCTCTGCTCACTATGTGTTCTCTGTGTTTGTTTTCATGTTTTCCTCTAGCTGGAAGTGGTCATCCTGCCCTGAACCTGTCGATCATGTCGTTGCACATCAGTTTCTACTCGGCTCTGCTGGACCCTGGGCCTGCCACGCACCTGCCACGCGCCTGCTGCTACGCGTTAGTTATTGCACGTGTGTTGCTACTCAATTCAACTATTGGGCATTGGCTGTGACTTGCTTTCTTGCTGCAGGCAATTAAGGGGGTGTGTCAGTATACATATAATATATGTATACATACATATATGTGTGTGTGTAACTATCTTTAGATATATCTGTAGTGTATTGTTCAACATTTGCTGGTGGTGCACCTCTATCACTTGCCCTCGTTTTCTATATACTGTACCCCTTTTCGTAGTGCGAACCCCTTCTTCCCAACTCTCTTGCCAATCTCCAAATTCCTAGCCCAAGCTACTAGGCTTACTTCACGCCAGCAGGCGCGCGGCAGGGCGTGTGGCCAGGCGCGCGGCAGGGCACGGCAGGACGCGCGACAGGCGTGGTAAGGCGCGCGACAGGGCCTGTAACAGGCGCGTGACAGACGCGAGCGCGGCAGGCGTAGGTGCAACATGCGCAGGCGCATGTGTAGCGGCGGTAGGTGCGAGCGCGGTAGGGCACTGTAGGGCGCGCGGCAGGGCGCTCGGCAGGGTGCGCTGCAGATGCGAGTGCGGAAGCAGCGGGGCGCAGCGGTGGGGCGCAACTAGGGCGCGACGGGGCCATGGGGCCATGGGTCGCGACTAGGGCGTGGGGGGTGCGATGGGGGGCGCGGCTAGGGCGCGACAAGGCGCGACGGTAGGGTGCGAGAGGGTGCTAGAGGGGGCCGTTAGAGGGGGGGGCGTTAGGAGGGGGGGGCCGAGGGGGGAAGAGGGGGTGGCGCTAGTGAGGAGATGTGAGGGCACGAGGGGTAGCTATGTAGGGAGGGCGGAAACGTGTGGCCTATTAAGCGCGTGATACCATGTAAAAAACTGAGAATGATGAATGGGGCATGCCGAGAGGGAACATCTAGCAAACCCATACCCTCTATAGTCCAACCCAACCTACCCTAAGAAGTACACATGCAAATGCATATGGTATGTTGACAGTTACGGTAATACCCGGGTTGCAAAGCTCTGCTCCTGCGAAATATGCTGTCAACGAAACAAATTGGAATTTCTTCGGAAAAAAAAACCCACTATTGCATTGGTGGCTCAATGATACTTGACCAAGCTGTACCATCTGGCTCGTGTCGTTGAGCCATCTCCAACAACCGATGTAGGTAAAAATGGGTTGCGGGGAGAAGGCCAATTTGTACTTTCATTGTTGTTGAACCACCCACGACCAAATCGCAAAGCATGGAAGCTCGAAATCTAATTAATAGTTGTCACCTTATACCCTCTTATCTTGAAACCACATAGAGATCATACAGAGCTCCTCTCTACGACGCCTTCTCGTCAAGCAACAACTGGCGGGCACTCACCAAACAAAGGTACCTTTATGAGAGAAGCTTGCATTCTACTTCAACAACAGAGATCTACGACGCAACCAACGACATTAGCGGATCTACTCCACAATCTGCAAAAGTTTCAGACATCCTGTGGAGTGAGCCAACTTCCACTCCAACTCCAAGGCTTCCCCAATCCCCACACCTCAGTCTGAACAATGGGCTCCACCAAATGTAGGACGACTCAACCACCATCATTACGTTGATCGACCGTTCTCGGGCCATTGTTTGCCCCACACTCGCTTGCGACGTTGGAATGGCTCTAACTGATGTCAACTCCTGTATGCCTCTCCTTACCACCTCATCAGTAACATCGTGATGAGGCACCATCAGCTCACAACGAACAAATTGCCAACATCAATGACCTCCATCACCCTAATTTGTAACAAACCCGGGGCCTTTTATTAAACAACCAAGAGGATAAACAAGATTGGAAACTACCGATTGTGTTGCTCGAAAGCCCACCGCACGAAATCAATGTAAGACTAGTTTTAGGACACAGGAACAAACTGGCGTTTTCTAGATCGCCAAGACATACCTCATCTTGTGTCATGTCACCTCCCTCTGTGGCTTTCGATGGCGATCACAATCTCACCTAATAGCACGACAATTGTTATAGTCAACACAATAGCCAAAATACATCCCATACATTGTCGCCACACCCATGACAGCATACATCACCAACGAGAACTTGAAAGCTAACTTGCAAAAATTCGTCGTCATGAAGCGGTGACAAAACATACATCATACTGAACGATGAGCTCATCGTCCGAAATATGCAGTTCAACCGACAATCAGCCTCGCAACAGATCAATTGTAATGTTGAGCTCCACACAGATTTTGCAACCCGCGACGTCGAGCTCTACCACGCCCCCTCAAATATGAAATGATGGTACCTCGGCCGAGGAAGACAAAAATGGCAAGTTTATTTGCTTGATTTCAACGCGCCTGCACTAGCGACATCAACGAGTTGACTGATGTGGTCCGACGATGCTTCAACACTCGCCAGTAGTCTGAGTGGACGCACTTTGAATGGAATACCTGGGGTGCGCAACACCCCCATAATGTTAATCTCATGACCCCAGTTTGGATCGCGTTTGCTGGGAATGCCATACCTCCATACAATCCAAAAACAATGTAGTCGACAACATACTTGACGGACACGAAGAAACTGAAACCTTGGCCTCCCGTTGTCGGCATGGAAAAAAATAAAAAGAGCTTCCAAACTGTCCGGCAGGGTTCCGTTCGGACGTTTGGGACTCCGTTCGGACGAGAGAGGGCGCCCGGATTACATTTGTAGAGTTTATTTCAAATTTGAAATTCAAGCGAAGCGTAATAGACATTACAACAAGCACATTTTTTTTCCAAACGTAATCGCGCGCCAATGATAGCGAAGATAGAGCGGACGGTTCGGTGGGCCGATATAACGGTGTCAGCTCGGTTTTCTGGACCATATTTGTTAGAAAAGTGTAAAATTGTATATGAACGCATGCGACGTCGCATGGGGTCTTGCGAAACCCGTTACGAAACCCAACGAGAATTGTAACCCTATAGAAGTCCCGACGGGCCACCGTCCGGACGATTTATTTGGGAACACATTACGTGTTACATTTTTCACCTTTGCCCGTCCGAACAGGCCATCGTCCGGACATTTAAATGGTTACCTGTTTCGTCAAAACCAGTTAGAGTCCTCGTTAGCACGCGCACGACGTCTCTAACGATCGGACTGCCGATTAAACATTTTGCATATTTTGCCCTCCCAAATCGTCAGGACGATAACCGTTCGATAAACGGACGGACGTAACAATCCGCAATTTTACTGGCCGACGAAAACGAGTTGACGATTCGCTTAAATGTTACATTTGTCGTAATAGATGTTACTGTTTCGTAAGAACCTTATGTTTTCATAAGTAGGAAAAGTGTCATAATCGACATCTGGACGAGGCTCAGTTCGGACGTTGGACTTGGACCGTCCGATATTCAGTATCCGAACCGTTTTCGGATGAATGTCCGGATTTAACCTCTCTCGAAATATGTAACACGCCCTAACGCCCTCATAACAAAATGTTCGGGGGTGCACCATCCAAAAGGCTAGTCTAGTGTGTTACGAATGAGCTATTTGAACACGCCCTGCGTCCTCCATCCTGCTTGAAGCTCGTATTGCTCCCCCAATTTTCAACCCCAGAACTGAGCTGCCAAGCGGCCCACGCCCGGCGTTGCTGGCACCGCTTCCATCGAGCCCTCCCCTCCGTTTGCCGCCGACCTGCGGCCTCTGGCGGGCGCCAGAATGCGTGCAGTGCGCGCGACGTTCCTATGCCTGTCGCTCAACTTCACTCTTTGCAGCATCTTCAACGGCCGCCACTACACGGGCCGTGGCTCCCTGCCCATCGGCGGATCAGATGTCGCCACGTCAGCAGATACGAGATCAGCCGGCGTTTGGGCGTCGTCAGATGCGTCGGGGTTTGTGCTGCTGGACTCGCGGCAGATCTGCACCCACGACCAGTGGTCGCGCGCCACGCAAGGCCTCATCCCCTCCTTACAAGCACTTACCTGGTAGTCGCGTCACGCTGACGTCAGCCATTTGGTTTCCCAGCGCGAGTATCGCTGCACCCTCATTCCTTTCCTCTCCACTCGCCGCTCGCTTCCATCCCCTTCCCTCCAGTTTCAGCCCCTCGCTCGTGCCTCTTCACTGCCCCAGCTCTCCCTCTTCACTGCCCCATCTCTCCCTCTTCACTGGCCCATCTCTCCCTCTTGATGATTCCATCTAAACCCTAAATTCTCCTCCTTTTATCTCTTCCCCCTCGCCCCTCTCAGCGCAAATGCCCTGCATCTTGCCATCCTTCATGCCACGCCGCCTCAATTCTCTTCTCCCTAACCCCCCTGCCCCTCCGTCCCCTCCCCTTGCTGCACCCCCGCTCTCCCATCTCCCCTCCCCCCTCCCCTCCTGTCCCCCCCCACTCCATGCGGTGCGCGCCTTCCCCCCCCCCCCCCCCCAGGAGCAGCGCGCTGTGCGACGAGGAGCTGAGCCTGCTCGCCTCGCTGCCCCCTCGCCCCGCCGCGCTGCACCTTGCCTCGCTGCCGCGCACTCCCCCCGCCCCTGCCACGTGCCTGCGCCCCTTTGTGCGCAAAGGTGGGTCACAAAGGTGGGTGGGTGGACCCCCGCCCTCCTGCTCACTGCTGCCTGCCCACATTACGATACGAGGTGCAGGGTGGTGCTGCATGGTGCAGGGCGGTGAGAATGAGCTAGGTCGTCAAGGTAGTGGTTGTGTGTGCATGGGGTTGGAGTGTGCATGGGGTTGGAGTGTGCATGGGGGTGTGTGTGTGCATGGGGTTGGAGTGTGCATGGGGTTGGAGTGTGTGTGCAAGTTGCAACGGCTATGGGAGAAGTAGGGTTGAGCAAGAGGCGAACACGAACGTGTTCGGTTCGCTTTGAACACCTTCTGAATAAAAGGTGTTCGCCTGTTCGCCTTTGGGGGCGAACACTTAGGCTGTTCGCCCCGAGCACGAACATGTTCGTGCTCGCGTTTTCAGCAGCCTTCGTTATAATCACATCAACCAGTTTAGTGGATTTCAGCGTTCCTGGTGGATTTTCCCCCTTGTTTCTTCCCTAGAACGCCCCAAATGTTAATGGCGCCAAACCTAAACTAGTATAGGATAGAAGAAAAATGTTGCGCCAACCCAAAAAGTTGGAGTTTAAGGAAAGATTAGGGCTGGCGGCGCTAAGAGTCTATGCTGTGGTGTGGTGGGTGTCTTAGCCTGAAATCGAACTCAAAAATGAGGTCGACAAAGTGAAACCGTCGACCTAAAAAATGGGTCGCGGGACCTTTTGGGCGAACACGTCTGTGTTCGTCCGAAGAGTCCGGCGAACACGAACATGTTCGTGTTTGCCGCGGCTCGGGAAGCCGCGACCTTGCACGAACGTGTTCGGGCGAACACGAACTTGTCCTCCCCTCCCCGAGCACTTTAGGCAAAAAACAAGAAAGTTTGAGGCGAACCCAACACATGTTTGCCTGGATTCACAAGCCTAGGGGGAAGGCATGGGGTTGGTGTGTGCATGTGGGGAGCAGGCGGCTTGCATGTCATTCGCCACAGTACAGTTGCGCTCCACAGCAAACACCAACCAAGCTCAATGCTTGACTTGAACCACATCACATCTCCCCCCTCCTTCCCCCGCCCTCTCTCCCATGCGTGCATACCAGGCACCAAGCTCTACTCTCTCTCTCACGCGCCCTCCCCCGCCGCTGCCTCCTCCACCACTTCGCCCCCCGCCCCCCCTCGCTGCCACGCCGCCTCCTCGCGGCACGGGGGGCGCCTGGGCGGGCTCGACCTCTGCGTGCTGCTGCACCCCTCGCCGCCCCCGCTGCCCCTCTTCCGCCCCCTCTGCCCCTCCCCCGCCTCCTGCTCCCCCAGCTGCCCCGCTCCAGGCACGGAGCGGGCATGCAAAAAAGAGGAGTGCCAGGGGGATTGTGGAGAAAAGAGTGTGAGGCGAGTGAAGGGGAGGAAGGAAGAGCAGAGTGGAGGGAGTGATGGTTGTGGGCATGACGGGGAGAGTGGGTCAGGGCGGGATGGTGAGAGTGGACGGTCGGGTTCTGGGAGGACTGCAGGCGGGGGGAGGGGCGAGGGCGCAGCATGGAGAGGAAAGGCACCCGGCGAGCACCCGGGTGCAGAAGCGGAGGCTGGTGGTAGCAGTGAGGGTGGGGGAGGAAAGAAGGGGAAAGGAGGAGGGAGAGGGGGGGGAGGGGGGGATGCTGTGTGGGAGGCGGTGGTGAATGAGTATGTGGACGACGAGGGGGCGGTGCAGCACGAGGTGGACAACCACGCCCTGCTGCACACCGCCCTCGCCCTCGTCCGTCCCTCCTCTCCCCTCTCACTCACTCAGTCAGTCAGTCTGTCACTCAGTCAGTCACTCAGTCACTCAGTCAGTCAGTCAGCCGCTGCTCTGCCTCACCGGGCCTCTTATCTATTCGCAGGGCAACTCTTCTGTGTCACCTGCTCGCAGCCCCATGCCCTCTGCCCCATGCTCGCAGCCCCATGCCCTCTGCCCCATGCCCTCTGCCCCATGCCCTCTGCGCCATGCTCGCCGCTCGTTGCTGGTGCTGTTGGAGTCAGATGCGGAAGAAGCACTTTCATGAAGCCATCACTCTCTTCAACTTGGTATGCTGGTGATGGTGATGGTGATGGTGATGATGATGGTGCTGCTGATGGTGATGGTGATGATGATGGTGATGATGATGGTGCTGCTGATGGTGATGGTGATGATGATGGTGATGATGATGGTGCTGCTGATGGTGGTGCTGATGATGGTGATGATGATGGTGATGATGATGGTGGCGATGATGGTGGTGATGATGGTGGTGCTGATGGTGGTGATGGTGCTGATGGTGGTGCTGCTGATGGTGATGGTGATGATGATGGTGATGATGATTGTGATGATGATGGTGGCGATGATGGTGGTGATGATGGTGGTGCTGATGGTGGTGATGGTGGTGCTGCTGATGGTGATGGTGATGATGATGGTGATGATGATTGTGATGATGATGGTGGCGATGATGGTGGTGATGATGGTGGTGCTGATGGTGGTGATGGTGCTGATGGTGGTGCTGCTGATGGTGATGGTGATGATGATGGTGATGATGATTGTGATGATGATGGTGGCGATGATGGTGGTGATGATGGTGGTGCTGATGGTGGTGCTGATGGTGATGATGGTGGTGCTGCTGATGGTGATGGTGATGATGATGGTGCTGCTGATGGTGATGGTGATGATGATGGTGATGATGATGGTGATGATGATGGTGGCGATGATGGTGGTGATGATGGTGGTGCTGATGGTGGTGATGGTGCTGATGGTGGTGCTGCTGATGGTGATGGTGATGATGATGGTGATGATGATTGTGATGATGATGGTGGCGATGATGGTGGTGATGATGGTGGTGCTGATGGTGGTGCTGATGGTGATGATGGTGGTGCTGATGGTGCTGATGGTGATGATGGTGATGATGGTAGTGATGATGGTAGTGATGATGGTAGTGATGATGGTAGTGATGATGGTAGTGATGATGGTAGTGATGATGGTAGTGATGATGGTAGTGATGATGGTAGTGATGATGGTAGTGATGATGGTAGTGATGATGGTAGTGATGATGGTAGTGATGATGGTAGTGATGATGGTAGTGATGATGGTAGTGATGATGGTAGTGATGATGGTAGTGATGATGGTAGTGATGATGGTAGTGATGATGGTAGTGATGATGGTAGTGATGATGGTAGTGATGATGGTAGTGATGATGGTAGTGATGATGGTAGTGATGATGGTAGTGATGATGGTAGTGATGATGGTAGTGATGATGGTAGTGATGATGGTAGTGATGATGGTAGTGATTATGGTTGTGATGATGATGGTTGGGATGATGGTTGTGATGATGATGGTTGGTAGGGATGGTGGTGGTGATGATGCCATCCCAGTACTCATGCTGATGATGATGCAGCTGTTCCATCACATTTAACATCACATGCGCCATCACGTGCGCCATCACGTGCGCCATCACGTGCGCCATCACGTGCGCCATCACGTGCGCCATCACGTGCGCCATCACGTGCGCCATCACGTGCGCCATCACGTGCGCCATCACGTGCGCCATCACGTGCGCCATCACGTGCGCCATCACGTGCGCCATCACGTGCGCCATCACGTGCGCCATCACGTGCGCCATCACGTGCGCCATCACGTGCGCCATCACGTGCGCCATCACGTGCGCCATCACGTGCGCCATCACGTGCGCCATCACGTGCGCCATCACGTGCGCCATCACGTGCGCCATCACGTGCGCCATCACGTGCGCCATCACGTGCGCCATCACGTGCGCCATCACGTGCGCCATCACGTGCACCATCACATGCGCCATCACATGCACCATCACATGCACCATCACATGCACCATCAGATGCACCATCAGATGCACCATCAGATGCATCACCATTCCATCCTGTCATCAGCCCACCCACCCCGCTCTTCAAATTCTTGTCTTTCCCTGACTCCCCTATCATCATCTCCTTTCCGTTCATCCCTTCCCTGCACCCAACCCAACCTCCCATGCGCCACGCCGTTCTCGTCTCCCCCTGCCCCTTATCCCCTGCCCCCTGCTCTCCCCCACCCCCTGGGCATGGCGGCGAGCAGGTGGAGCGGGAGGAGGAGGTGAGGGAGGCGGTGCTGGTGGGGCGTGGCATCGCGCACTCGCTGCTGGGCCACCACCGCCTCGCCCTCTCCGACTTCTCCACCGTGCGTGCCCCCCTGCCTCCCACACCTATTGCTGCCAACCTCAGTACCGCTGCTGCCCCTCACACCAGCACTGCTGCTGCCACCCACACCAGCACTGCTGCTGCCCCTCACACCAGCACTGCTGCTGCCACCCACACCAGCACTGCTGCTGCCACCCACACCAGCACTGCTGCTGCCACCCACATCAGCACTGCTGCTGCCACCCACACCAGCACTGCTGCTGCCCCCCACATCAGCACTGCTGCTGCCACCCACACCAGCACTGCTGCTGCCCCCCACACCCGTGCTATTGCTGCCAGGCTCAGCCTTGCTGCTGCCACCCACGGCTCTGCTGTTTTTTTCCAGGGCAGTGGCTGGGGGGCAGTAGTAGGTGCTGTTATAGTCACAGTGGGCTATAGACGTAAACATGAGGAGCACACAAGCAAACCACGCCCCACTTCTCCTCGGACAGCATTTGAACTGCGTTTGTCTGGTTGTCCGGTTTTACTCCAACTGGACAACGTTTGAATCGAAGTGGTCGAACGGGTTCAAGTGCCCCGCAAGGAGAGCCGGGTCGGATCGGGTCGGGTCGGGTCGGGTCGGGTCAACCTGGTCGTATCGAGCCGACCAGCCATTCGACCGACCCGACCTGATTCGTTGCTCATGCCCAGTTCCTTGTGTTCGACTAACCTGTTCGAATCGGATCGACTCGAACTGGTACATGGTTCGGCCTGCAAGCAAAGTCGTACATTGTTTTTCTACAAACGACGGCGCCATGGTGGATTGACTGAATGGCGCTGTACCAATTTAAATTTCGGCCCTAACGTTTTTTTAGGGTGTGTTTGTTTATGTTTTTGTAAATAGTGTTGGGGAAGGCATGCCAGATGTTGTTGAGAAGGGAGGCTGCATGGAATGCCTTGGGATGGAGTTGCATTGCACGCACCATGCGTCAGACTCTCCATACGCTAGAATTAAAGTTTGGCTAAGAGGTGCGGTCAGCTAGAAAACAAACGCTCCTGCGCTGTCATGGTCATGCTGTCATGGCCATGCTGTCATGGCCATGCTGCCATGGTCATGCTGTCATGGCCATGCTGTCATGGTCATGCTGTCATGGCCATGCTGTCATGGCCATGCTGTCATGGCCATGCTGTCATGGCCATGCCTTCCTCGCCTGGCATGCTGACTCCGCCTGGCATGCTGACTCCGCCTGGCATGCTGACTCCGCCTGGCATGCTGACTCCGCCTGGCATGCTGACTCCGCCTGGCATGCTGACTCCGCCTGGCATGCTGACTCCGCCTGGCATGCCGTCCCCCTTTGGCAGGGGGTGAAGCTGTTTCCCAACAATGCGGAGCTTTGGAGGCGACGAGGCTTGCTTCACGCCGGCATGGGCAAGAGGAGAGAGGTGAGCAGCGGTGCATGGCGGCATGGGCAAGAGGAGAGAGGTGAGCAGCGGTGCATGGCGGCATGGGCAAGAGGAGAGAGGTGAGCAGCGGTGCATGGCGGCATGGGCAAGAGGAGAGAGGTGAGCAGCGGTGCATGGCGGCATGGGCAAGAGGAGAGAGGTGAGCAGCGGTGCATGGCGGCATGGGCAAGAGGAGAGAGGTGAGCAGCGGTGCATGGTGGCATGGGCAAGAGGAGAGAGGTGAGCAGCGGTGCATGGCGGCATGGGCAAGAGGAGAGAGGTGAGCAGCGGTGCATGGCGGCATGGGCAAGAGGAGAGAGGTGAGCAGCGGTGCATGGCGGCATGGGCAAGAGGAGAGAGGTGAGCAGCGGTGCATGGCGGCATGGGCAAGAGGAGAGAGGTGAGCAGCGGTGCATGGCGGCATGGGCAAGAGGAGAGAGGTGAGCAGCGGTGCATGGCGGCATGGCAAGAGGAGAGAGGTGAGCAGCGGTGCATGGCGGCATGGCAAGAGGAGAGAGGTGAGCAGCGGTGCATGGCGGCATGGGCAAGAGGAGAGAGGTGAGCAGCGGTGCATGGCGGCATGGCAAGAGGAGAGAGGTGAGCAGCGGTGCATGGCGGCATGGGCAAGAGGAGAGAGGTGAGCAGCGGTGCATGGCGGCATGGGCAAGAGGAGAGAGGTGAGCAGCGGTGCATGGCGGCATGGGCAAGAGGAGAGAGGTGAGCAGCGGTGCATGGCGGCATGGGCAAGAGGAGAGAGGTGAGCAGCGGTGCATGGTGGCATGGGCAAGAGGAGAGAGGTGAGCAGCGGTGCATGGCGGCATGGGCAAGAGGAGAGAGGTGAGCAGCGGTGCATGGCGGCATGGGCAAGAGGAGAGAGGTGAGCAGCGGTGCATGGCGGCATGGGCAAGAGGAGAGAGGTGAGCAGCGGTGCATGGCGGCATGGGCAAGAGGAGAGAGGTGAGCAGCGGTGCATGGCGGCATGGGCAAGAGGAGAGAGGTGAGCAGCTGTGCATGGCGGCATGGGCAAGAGGAGAGAGGTGAGCAGCGGTGCATGGCGGCATGGGCAAGAGGAGAGAGGTGAGCAGCGGTGCATGGCGGCATGGGCAAGAGGAGAGAGGTGAGCAGCGGTGCATGGCGGCATGGGCAAGAGGAGAGAGGTGAGCAGCGGTGCATGGCGGCATGGGCAAGAGGAGAGAGGTGAGCAGCGGTGCATGGCGGCATGGGCAAGAGGAGAGAGGTGAGCAGCGGTGCATGGCGGCATGGGCAAGAGGAGAGAGGTGAGCAGCGGTGCATGGCGGCATGGGCAAGAGGAGAGAGGTGAGCAGCGGTGCATGGCGGCATGGGCAAGAGGAGAGAGGTGAGCAGCGGTGCATGGCGGCATGGGCAAGAGGAGAGAGGTGAGCAGCGGTGCATGGCGGCATGGGCAAGAGGAGAGAGGTGAGCAGCGGTGCATGGCGGCATGGGCAAGAGGAGAGAGGTGAGCAGCGGTGCATGGCGGCATGGGCAAGAGGAGAGAGGTGAGCAGCGGTGCATGGCGGCATGGGCAAGAGGAGAGAGGTGAGCAGCGGTGCATGGCGGCATGGGCAAGAGGAGAGAGGTGAGCAGCGGTGCATGGCGGCATGGGCAAGAGGAGAGAGGTGAGCAGCGGTGCATGGCGGCATGGGCAAGAGGAGAGAGGTGAGCAGCGGTGCATGGCGGCATGGGCAAGAGGAGAGAGGTGAGCAGCGGTGCATGGCGGCATGGGCAAGAGGAGAGAGGTGAGCAGCGGTGCATGGCGGCATGGGCAAGAGGAGAGAGGTGAGCAGCGGTGCATGGCGGCATGGGCAAGAGGAGAGAGGTGAGCAGCGGTGCATGGCGGCATGGGCAAGAGGAGAGAGGTGAGCAGCGGTGCATGGCGGCATGGGCAAGAGGAGAGAGGTGAGCAGCGGTGCATGGCGGCATGGGCAAGAGGAGAGAGGTGAGCAGCGGTGCATGGCGGCATGGGCAAGAGGAGAGAGGTGAGCAGCGGTGCATGGCGGCATGGGCAAGAGGAGAGAGGTGAGCAGCGGTGCATGGCGGCATGGGCAAGAGGAGAGAGGTGAGCAGCGGTGCATGGCGGCATGGGCAAGAGGAGAGAGGTGAGCAGCGGTGCATGGCGGCATGGGCAAGAGGAGAGAGGTGAGCAGCGGTGCATGGCGGCATGGGCAAGAGGAGAGAGGTGAGCAGCGGTGCATGGCGGCATGGCAAGTGGAGGTAAGACATTGAGAGCATTGGCAAGGGGATAGGCATGGGAGTGACAAGGGACGAAGACAAGGGAGCACGAGCAGGGTGCAAGAGCAGGGAGAAGGCATTGCTTTCCTTGTCTGGACCCTTTCTCTCATTGCATGCGTCGTCTCCCGTTTATTGCATCTTGTGCTTAGCCACCCACCCACCCACTCATGCCAACCACTCCCAATCATGCAATGCTATGCCATGCCATGTCATGCCCCGCCATGCTGTCCCATATCATGCATGCATTTCAATGCCACATCGCCATGCGGCGCGGCACGGCATGGTGCATGGCGTAGGCGATGGCGGACCTCTCTCGCTCGCTGGACCTCGACCCCGCCAACCAAGAGGCGCTGCTGCACCGAGGTGATGCCCACTCACACGCACGCTTCGGAGTGGTGATTAGCAGTCGTGCTGCGGGAATGCGGCCACAATGTAGACATGCATAGTGCACTCATATTTGTAGAGACGCGCCTTCTTTCAAAGACACACATGGGAAATCGATATGAGATTTGAAGGGTCAGGACATGGTGCCCCACACAGACTTGCACTCTCACACGGACTTGCACTCTCACACGGACTTGCACTCTCGCTCAGACTTGCACCCTCACACAGACAGACTTGCATCCTCACACATTGCACACCCACACAGACTTGCACCTTCACACAGACTTGCACTCTCACACAAATTTGCACTCTCACTCAGACTTGCACCCTCACACAGATTTGCACCCTCACACAGACAGCCTTGCACCCTCACACGAACTTGCACCCTCACACAGACTTGCACCCTCGCACAGACTTGCACCCTCGCACAGACTTGCACTTCCACATGGACTTGCATTCTCACACATACTTGCTCTCTTCCCGTCTCATTCCACTCACCCAGATAGCCGTAGATGGCCTGGAAAATTGCATGTGACACGCGCGGCTCGGGTCGTGCACATCAATCATCTGGCCCGCCCCGGGCCAAAAAATGGTCCGGGCCGGCCCGATCAAAAGAGGTGGGCCGTGTTCGAGCTGTCCACAGGGCTGGGCCGGACCGACTCCGGCCCATATTCTGAGCGTCTCCTGGCCCGAACAAAAAGCACGGCCCTGCCCGCCACCCGTGACCCGACTTTTGGTTATTCATAGCGTGTCGGCGTCGTTGTACGTCTGCGTTGGCGGGCGTTGTGTGTATGTGTTTGCGTTTTGACTGTGTGTTAGTGTTGTGAGACCAAAACAGGTGGGCCCACTCGAGCTGGATGGTAACATATGATGAGATGAATATCCTACACGACACATAATTTGCGAACCGATTCTGGCAAAAACACAATCGTATCAGTTCGAGTCGCTAGTGATAATTGCTACACTAACATGTAACTGCTGTTACTCTACCAAGTAAAGAACGGCTAGGAGTTGTTTCCTGATCAATTTCGTTTTGGAGGGTACGGAAAATCGTATGGAGGGAGTCGTCCCAAAAGACAAAGAGCTACAGCAACCCTAATTAGGGTTTTTGGCCAGTCGGGACCCTGTTTGTTGTTATAGTCACAATATGCTCAAATGTCACAATAGAGTGCACAGACGGATTTCTGCAGAGCGGCTTCAAACTTTGATAGCGAACTGGTCGCAACACTAAATGATGTGCTATATATACGATATGGAGGGCCTTAACGCCGTCTACAATAGGCTTGTGGTAACATTCATTTTTATTAAAAACTGACGACGTTGGGAATGAAGAAGCTCGAGTTGGGAATGACTCCAAGCCTCTACAAACCCCAAAAGCCGAGATCTAGTGAGGTAAAACAGTGTCACAACAGTCCCCAACCACGAAAGGTCTCGAAACTACCCACCAAAAGGGCCTACGAGAAATGTTACAGCACACAATGCCATGTACATATTTTCACTATCTTGATGTCTATTTTTTCTTGCAAGCTCCGAAATCTCTTGAATCATAAAATTGAGGCTCTGCTTCTTCAATATAAATTCTTCCATGAGGTACTGGAACCTTGCTACTGACATATGCGACACGCCAAATGTTCGACACTCGAGAAAATAGGAAAGGCACAACGACACGCAAACGACAATGTGACACTCAACTAAGAAAACTCGCTATTGGTTTAACACAGAAATTTAACATCAAGACTCATCATTCACACACGCAAAGACGCATGAAGTATAGGTCATCCATCTCATGCTCTCATACCATTTCATGCAAACACATACGCACGCACAAGGACAACAAGCCAAGTGCAAACCTTGAAGTTGCATCAACATTCGTGTCGAACCGGTTCAGTTCTATGCGCTTCTGCTGGTCCAATTTGAAATGAATCGAACGGTTTGACTCGAACCAGTAGCGGGTCGAGTTGAGCCTTTGGCAGAAACACATTGCATATTGGTTCTTTGCTCAACTTGGAGTTTTTGTTGCGGTTCTGCTGCATGCACGTGGTCTCATGGCAGGCACGCTGCACTTCCACCTTCACGATTACTGGGCGGCCATCCGCGACTTCTCCACTCTGCACAATGCACGCCCGCCCGACCCACTTCTCTTTAACGCCCTCGTGCGTAAGCCTGTAAAGGAATATTCGGTTTTCGAGAATTATTCGATATTTGTTCAAATACCTGAATTTGAGAGAACAGGAAACGACCGTGTATTCGAAAACATTTGCATCACGAGTACTCGTTGCTGTAGAATATTTGGGAAACGAATATTCGGGGTATTCGTTACTATTCGGCATTCTACCATCAACCCCCCCTCATACTTTCCCTACATGCGGCTATCATCTTTAGCAATCTGTGTACAAGCGGCCTCATGAGAGCCATGGCCAAAAGTCGAGCAAGATAGTTGCTGGTGAGGGGTTAGGGAAAGTGCGTGATGTGGGATTGAGTAGTGTTGTTGGTAGTATAAGGTACACAGTATCACCATGTGTCGAACATGCATGAGCTGTTTGACACTGCCTATACAAAATCTATTATTCGACACTTAATCGTGTTCGATTCGGATTCGGCTTTGGGTCAGTATTCGAATCGTATTCGTATTCGTTTTTGGGTCAGTATTCGGTCAAATAAGAAACCAGAGAGTATTCGGAAAATATTCAGCAAAAATATTCGTATTCATATTCGTATTCATATTCGTATTCGTATTCGTATTCGTATTCGTATTCGTATTCGTATTCGTTTTTACAGGCTTACTTGTGCGCTCCTGTGCTGGCCCCTCTCGCCCCATCCACGCATGCTCACTTTCGCGTCTCTGCTTGCATGTGCACCTCTCACGTGTTCCCTTGCTATCATTGCTTGCTGCCTCTATGACCGTGCTTCAGCATGATGGGGGCCACACCATATTCGTTCAGCACCCAGGTGCTTCTCATGTTTTTTGTCTTAAGTTTGCTTCTACCCACCCTTTCAAATGCCACCTCTCATCATTCATGTTCTCGCGTGCCACTTTTCATCATTCATCTTCTCGCCTCCTCCATATTGCCACTCCTCTTCTCCGCTTCCACTTCCCCACTCCCCCCTTGTCTCTTGCACGCAGGGTCTGGCGCTAGCAGGGGCGGGGGAGTGGCGGCGGGCGGCGGAGGTGTTTGAGCGCGGGGCGGCGCTCTTCCCGCGGGCGGCACAGCTGTGGCTGGAGGGCGGGCGCGCGTTCAAGGAGCTGGGCGCCGTGCAGCCGGCGCTGCATGCGCTGGAGCGAGCCGTGGCTCTGGAGGAGTGAGGCACGGGCAAGGGGGTCTTTGGCACGGGCAAGGGGGTCTTTGGCACGGGCAAGGGGGTCTTTGGCAGGGAAACATGGGCAAGGGAAGAGAAAAGGCATGCTTTGTTGTGCTCCACTGCCATCCCCAATGCTCCACTGCCATCCCCAATGCTCCACTGCCATCCCCAATGCTCCACTGCCATCCCAAATTCTCCACTGCCACCCCAAATACCTCCTTCCTTACGACTCGCCTGGCACTCGTTCCTTCCGATGCACGTTTGCCATCCATCCATCCATCCATCCATCCATCCATCCATCCATCCATCCATCCATCCATCCATCCATCCATCCATCCATCCATCCATCCATCCATCCATCCATCCATCCATCCATCCATCCATCCATCCATCCATCCATCCATCCATCCATCCATCCATCCATCCATCCATCCATCCATCCATCCATCCATCCATCCATCCATCCATCCATCCATCCATCCATCCATCCATCCATCCATCCATCCATCCATCCATCCATCCATCCATCCATCCATCCATCCATCCATCCATCCATCCATCCATCCATCCATCCATCCATCCATCCATCCATCCATCCATCCATCCATCCATCCATCCATCCATCCATCCATCCATCCATCCATCCATCCATCCATCCATCCATCCATCCATCCATCCATCCATCCATCCATCCATCCATCCATCCGTCCGTCCGTCCGTCCGTCCATCCGTCCACCCATCCATCCACCCATCCATCCATCCACCCTGCATCCACCATGCATGTGCATGTGCCCATCAGGTCAACAGTGGCATACCACCGCCTGGCATCGCTGCACCAGCTCACAGGCGATCACAGGTGCTCCTGCACGCAGTGGCTGTGAGGCAAGGAGGGGTAGAAGTTATGGGAGGGGTAGGAAGGAAGAAGTTGTGATGAAGTGAAGTGGAGAGAGGTAGAAGGCGGGTGGAAGAGGGCTTGGCTGTACCGACCGACCTCGCCACCCGGGCAAAGTGGCCTCGCCGCCTCCTTGGGGTGCTTGTGCCAACACATGAGGGGGGCAGGTGGCATGAGGGGGGCAGGTGGCATGAGGGGGGCAGGTGGCATGAGGGGGGCAGGTGGCATGCGGGGGGCAGGTGGCATGAGGGGCGTGGGGTGGAATGGGGGAGGTGGATACGTGCACAGAGATGGAGAGGCAGTGAAGCACATCGCCAGATGAGCCGTGTAGGAAGGACGGCTGTTGTAAAGTCTTAGTGTGCTCATGCTCATACATTCATAAGACGGGTTTGGTATGAATTTGGAGTGGAACTTATTGATGAATCACACAGTCATCAAGCATGTGCCTTTATCTTGTTCCTCAGCGCTGTTGACCCTTGGATTTAAGGTTCGGGGTTTAGGGTTTTGGGTCCCACGAAATGCAGCCAACCCATGCACGCACGGGGCTGTGCTTCCCTCCCCCATGCGGGCCATGCGGGGCGGCAGGGCGGCGATGGAGAGTGCGCAGAGGGGGCTGCGGGGCAACCCGGGCGACATCGAGCTGAACCACGCTGTGGCCTCCGCCCTCCATGCTATCGGCGACTTCCCCAGTGCTGTCAGCCGCCACCCACCACCCATGCTCATGCCCAAATGCCCACATGCCCACATCCACATGCGGACATGCCCATGCCCATGCCCATGCCCATGCCCATGCTCATGCCCATACCCATGCCCATGCTCATGCCCATGCCCATGCCCATGCCCATGCTCATGCCCATGCCCATACCCTGTGAGAAACTGAAGTGTTGGTTTGATTGGAAAGATTGTGGGTACATATAGGAGATGAAAAGTATGGGGAACTAGGTTGGGTACCCACGACATTATTGGTGAGCCAATGGGAGTGGCCACCAATAATGTTTTGGAGGTGACCGCCAATTATTGGGGGGGAGCAATAATGGTTGGAACAAACCAACCAATGTTGGTTCCCCCCGCCAATTGCGGCTGAGTGGGGCTGGGGTGCACCCAACCAAAACTGGTTGGGTCGCCTTGGCCCAAAGTGTACACCCATGTTTGGGTGTTACACTTGCACATTTACAACCCAACTGATGCTATAATCTAACACAACCCCTTAGCAGAAGAAGGGTGTAAATGTGCACAACCCCTGAATCTTCAAGTCGGGAGGGGGGGCTGCTGCAGATGAGGTTGCAAGCTAGCCGAAGGTGCTGCGGCGGTGAGGTCGCACGCCAGTCGGGAGGGGGGCTGCTGCAGGTGAGGAGGCAAGCCAGCCGAAGGTGCTGCGGCGGTGAGGTCGCACGCCAGTCGGGAGGGGGGCTGCTGCAGGTGAGGAGGCAAGCCAGCCCAAGGTGCTGCGGCGGTGAGGTCGCACGCCAGTCGGGATGGGGGCTGCTGCAGGTGAGGAGGCAAGCCAGCCCAAGGTGCTGCGGCGGTGAGGTCGCACGCCAGTCGGGAGGGGGGCTGCTGCAGGTGAGGAGGCAAGCCAGCCCAAGGTACTGCGGCGGTGAGGTCGCACGCCAGTCGGGAGGGGGGCTGCTGCAGGTGAGGAGGCAAGCCAGCCCAAGGTGCTGCGGCGGTGAGGTCGCACGCCAGTCGGGAGGGGGGCTGCTGCAGGTGAGGAGGCAAGCCAGCCCAAGGTGCTGCGGCGGTGAGGTCGCACGCCAGTCGGGAGGGGGGCTGCTGCAGGTGAGGAGGCAAGCCAGCCCAAGGTGCTGCGGCGGTGAGGTCGCACGCCAGTCGGGACGGGGGCTGCTGCAGGTGAGGAGGCAAGCCAGCCCAAGGTGCTGCGGCGGTGAGGTCGCACGCGAGCCGGGAGGGGGGCTGCTGCAGGTGAGGAGGCAAGCCAGCCGAAGGGTGCTGCGGCGGTGAGGTCGCACGCGAGCCGGGAGCGGGGGCTGCTGCAGGTGAGGAGGCAAGCAAGCCAAGGGGTGCTGCGGCGGTGAGGTCGCACGCGAGCCAGGAGCGGGGGCTGCTGCAGGTGAGGAGGCAAGCAAGCCAAGGGGTGCTGCGGCGGTGAGGTCGCACGCGAGCCGGGAGCGGGGGCTGCTGCAGGTGAAGAGGCAAGCAAGCCAAGGGGTGCTGCGGCGGTGAGGTCGCACGCGAGCCGGGAGGGGGGCTGCTGCAGGTGAAGAGGCAAGCAAGCCAAGGGGTGCTGCGGCGGTGAGGTCGCACGCGAGCCGGGAGCGGGGGCTGCTGCAGGTGAAGAGGCAAGCAAGCCAAGGGGTGCTGCGGCGGTGAGGTCGCACGCGAGCCGGGAGCGGGGGCTGCTGCAGGTGAAGAGGCAAGCAAGCCAAGGGGTGCTGCGGCGGTGAGGTCGCACGCGAGCCGGGAGCGGTGGCTGCTGTAGGTGAAGAGGCAAGCAAGCCAAGGGGTGCTGCGGCGGTGAGGTCGCACGCGAGCCGGGAGCGGGGGCTGCTGCAGGTGAAGAGGCAAGCAAGCCAAGGGGTGCTGCGGCGGTGAGGTCGCACGCGAGCCGGGAGCGGGGGCTGCTGCAGGTGAAGAGGCAAGCAAGCCAAGGGGTGCTGCGGCGGTGAGGTCGCACGCGAGCCGGGAGGGGGGCTGCTGCAGGTGAAGAGGCAAGCAACCAAGGGGTGCTGCGGCGGTGAGGTCGCACGCGAGCCGGGAGCGGGGCTGCTGTAGGTGAAGAGGCAAGCAAGCCAAGGGGTGCTGCGGTGGTGAGGTCGCACGCGAGCCGGGAGCGGGGGCTGCTGCAGGTGAGGAGGCAAGCAAGCCAAGGGGTGCTGCGGCGGTGAGGTCGCACGCGAGCCGGGAGCGGGGGCTGCTGCAGGTGAAGAGGCAAGCAAGCCAAGGGGTGCTGCGGCGGTGAGGTCGCACGCGAGCCGGGAGCGGGGGCTGCTGCAGGTGAAGAGGCAAGCAAGCCAAGGGGTGCTGCGGTGGTGAGGTCGCACGCGAGCCGGGAGCGGGGGCTGCTGCAGGTGAGGAGGCAAGCAAGCCAAGGGGTGCTGCAGGCGAGGAGGGCTGGAATGCCCTGAGGAGGAGGAAGCGAGGGGGGAGGAGGGCTGAAATGCCCTGAGGAGGAGGAAGCGAGGGGGGAGGAGGGCTGGAATGCCCTGAGGAGGAGGAAGCGAGGGGGGAGGAGGGCTGGAATGCCCTGAGGAGGAGGAAGCGAGGGGGGAGGAGGGCTGGAATGCCCTGAGGAGGAGGAAGCGAGGGGGGAGGAGGAGGGCTGGAATGCCCTGAGGAGGAGGAAGCGAGGGGGAGGAGGAGGGCTGGAATGCCCTGAGGAGGAGGAAGCGATGGGGGAGGAGGGCTGGAATGCCCTGAGGAGGAGGAAGCGAGGGGGGAGGAGGAGGGCTGGAATGCCCTGAGGAGGAGGAAGCGATGGGGGAGGAGGGCTGGAATGCCCTGAGGAGGAGGAAGCGAGGGGGGAGGAGGAGGGCTGGAATGCCCTGAGGAGGAGGAAGCGAGGGGGGAGGAGGGCTGGAATGCCCTGAGGAGGAGGAAGCGAGGGGGGAGGAGGGCTGGAATGCCCTGAGGAGGAGGAAGCGAGGGGGGAGGAGGGCTGGAATGCCCTGAGGAGGAGGAAGCGAGGGGGGAGGAGGGCTGGAATGCCCTGAGGAGGAGGAAGCGAGGGGGGAGGAGGGCTGGAATGCCCTGAGGAGGAGGAAGCGAGGGGGGGGGAGGGCTGAAGTGCCCTGAGGAGGAGGAAGCGAGGGGGGGGGAGGGCTGAAGTGCCCTGAGGAGGAGGAAGCGAGGGGAGATGCGGAAGCGAGGGGGGGAGGAGGGCTGAAGTGCCCTGAGGAGGAGGAAGCGAGGGGGGGGCTGAAGTGCCCCGAGGAGGAGGAAGCGAGGGGGGAGGAGGGCTGGAATGCCCTGAGGAGGAGGAAGCGAGGGGGGAGGAGGGCTGAAATGCCCTGAGGAGGAGGAAGCGAGGGGGAGGAGGGCTGGAATGCCCTGAGGAGGAGGAAGCGAGGGGGGAGGAGGGCTGGAATGCCCTGAGGAGGAGGAAGCGAGGGGGGAGGAGGGCTGGAATGCCCTGAGGAGGAGGAAGCGAGGGGGGAGGAGGGCTGGAATGCCCTGAGGAGGAGGAAGCGAGGGGGGAGGAGGGCTGAAGTGCCCTGAGGAGGAGGAAGCGAGGGGGGGGGAGGGCTGAAGTGCCCTGAGGAGGAGGAAGCGAGGGGGGGGGAGGGCTGAAGTGCCCTGAGGAGGAGGAAGCGAGGGGGGGGGAGGGCTGAAGTGCCCTGAGGAGGAGGAAGCGAGGGGAGATGCGGAAGCGAGGGGGGGAGGAGGGCTGAAGTGCCCTGAGGAGGAGGAAGCGAGGGGGGGGCTGAAGTGCCCCGAGGAGGAGGAAGCGAGGGGGGAGGAGGGCTGGAATGCCCTGAGGAGGAGGAAGCGAGGGGGGAGGAGGGCTGAAATGCCCTGAGGAGGAGGAAGCGAGGGGGAGGAGGGCTGGAATGCCCTGAGGAGGAGGAAGCGAGGGGGGAGGAGGGCTGGAATGCCCTGAGGAGGAGGAAGCGAGGGGGGAGGAGGGCTGGAATGCCCTGAGGAGGAGGAAGCGAGGGGGGAGGAGGGCTGAAGTGCCCTGAGGAGGAGGAAGCGAGGGGAGATGCGGAAGCGAGGGGGGGAGGAGGGCTGAAGTGCCCTGAGGAGGAGGAAGCGAGGGGGGGGCTGAAGTGCCCCGAGGAGGAGGAAGCGAGGGGGGAGGAGGGCTGAAGTGCCCTGAGGAGGAGGAAGCGAGGGGGGGGGAGGGCTGAAGTGCCCTGAGGAGGAGGAAGCGAGGGGGGGGGAGGGCTGAAGTGCCCTGAGGAGGAGGAAGCGAGGGGAGATGCGGAAGCGAGGGGGGGAGGAGGGCTGAAGTGCCCTGAGGAGGAGGAAGCGAGGGGGGGGCTGAAGTGCCCCGAGGAGGAGGAAGCGAGGGGGGAGGAGGGCTGGAATGCCCTGAGGAGGAGGAAGCGAGGGGGGAGGAGGGCTGGAATGCCCTGAGGAGGAGGAAGCGAGGGGGGAGGAGGGCTGGAATGCCCTGAGGAGGAGGAAGCGAGGGGGGAGGAGGGCTGAAGTGCCCTGAGGAGGAGGAAGCGAGGGGGGAGAAGGGCTGAAGTGCCCTGAGGAGGAGGAAGCGAGGGGGGGGGAGGGCTGAAGTGCCCTGAGGAGGAGGAAGCGAGGGGGGGGGAGGGCTGAAGTGCCCTGAGGAGGAGGAAGCGAGGGGAGATGCGGAAGCGAGGGGGGGAGGAGGGCTGAAGTGCCCTGAGGAGGAGGAAGCGAGGGGGGGGCTGAAGTGCCCCGAGGAGGAGGAAGCGAGGGGGGAGGAGGGCTGGAATGCCCTGAGGAGGAGGAAGCGAGGGGGGAGGAGGGCTGAAATGCCCTGAGGAGGAGGAAGCGAGGGGGAGGAGGGCTGGAATGCCCTGAGGAGGAGGAAGCGAGGGGGGAGGAGGGCTGGAATGCCCTGAGGAGGAGGAAGCGAGGGGGGAGGAGGGCTGGAATGCCCTGAGGAGGAGGAAGCGAGGGGGGAGGAGGGCTGGAATGCCCTGAGGAGGAGGAAGCGAGGGGGGAGGAGGGCTGGAATGCCCTGAGGAGGAGGAAGCGAGGGGGGAGGAGGGCTGGAATGCCCTGAGGAGGAGGAAGCGAGGGGGGAGGAGGGCT